AATAATTACACAATCTTTTAAAATGCAACAAGCCATTTTGCAAGTTAGATTTTCAGAGTGATAATGCCATGATCTTCTAAGGCATGTGCTTATTTTTAAGGCATCCTAGGGCCAGGCTTTTAAAGATATATTTGTCACTGACTCTTTTTCCATATAGCACCATATTTAGCAATCAATGCTTTCTTGACAGGCATACACAAGTGGGGAATTGCTCACGGGGGAGCTGAAAAAGGTCCTTATCGAAACATTGCAGCCCTTGGTAGCAGCTCATCAAGAGAGACGGAAGCAGGTCACAGATGAAATGGTGCAGCAATTCATGACTCCGCGGAAGCTAGCTTTTGAATTTTGAAGAAACGTGCATTTAACTTACCACTTGATAAACCAAAACCAAGTAATTGTTGTCTTCTGTGTATGTCATTGCTCCCTAGTTATTGTACAGCCTGCAATCAGGGCTTTATAAATACTGCTTTTAATGAGTTAATTACAATGAATGTCAGAGTACAGGAAAAAATTAAAATAGGGCTTTTATCTATTTAAAGTCAGTATATGCAAGACAGAATTGCCCAATCTTGCAGAAAAGCATGTCTGTCAGCACATTTTATTTTATTGTATTTCATGTTGAAAATACAAATAAAACTTCCATTTTGATGATAAAGCCTAATGTAAATTTTTAGATATGTTGGTAAGAGGTCATATCTCAAACTAATTACTAGTAGTTCCATTTTCTTTTGTCATGTGTACTTTGGTTACTAGACTGTCCTTTTGGGCTACTGGGAAAGTGCTGCACGCAAAAAGATAATGAATGTTACAAATTAGATTACGCAGTGACTTAGGCTGGAGATCAATACAGGAAGAATGGAGTTCTCTAAGTTAAGCACAGAAGAAAGAATATCAGACTGGTTTTTGCTATTGTCTTCCTGTTTAAGCTGGGGCAAGTCACAGAAATCTCACTGTACTTTTGCTTCTGCAACTATTTAAACGGTCGGACTGCCTCTCTACTGTGAGGACTAGCGTTCTCTTAAAAATAAAATTTTAAAAAATAAAAAAAGGACACTTCTAATTTGACTGTAATAAACGTTTGAAGTCAGCTGATTAGAGTTGGATTGAGGGAGAAGTTCCAAGGGTGAGACTTCTCAGTGGCTTGAGTAGACCTTGGGTCAGCCTGGTAGTACACAAGAACATGCTGGGCTGTTTGTGCTGCCTGGCGCTGGGGCCTCTGCCTTCCCGCCAGCACCCACTCGGCAACACAGCGGGCACACACAGCCCCTCCGGCAATGGCTTTGTGTTTCTCAGATGGAAGTGCCTGTCCCTCAAGTTGTTTAGGAAGTGCCCCTGTTAGTTTATGTTTGTGCAAGGAACCAAGGAAAGATGGAAGCGCAAAGCAAGTTTAGCCCTATTGCATGTGTTTCAAACTTGTGCTGAAAATAGCAGTGCTTAGCTTTTGTCTTTTTCTTTACAGTTTACATGAGCTGACACTGCTAATTTAATGCCATTGACTTTCATGCATTAATGTTTACCAGTGACTGTCTCTCTGTAACCCACAGATGTATCTCAGTGCTAACAAATGTTTAACAATCAGTTAGAAAAGCTTTATTTTCTTCCTCTTTTTTTTTTTTCTTAAGGTGGTGGAGCAATTCTTAGGAAAGAAAAATAGTCTCCTAAATCGAGTAGTAAATAAACAGATTTTTGGTAACTGTAGACTTTAATGATGACTATCCTGTTCTGCAGTCATCTCTGTCATCTCTAAGCTATACACAAATGACTTAAATTGACTTTTAAAGGGCTTTTACAAACTCATAATGAAGATTTCTTCTTTAAAATATTGTATGCAGATCTGTCCTCCAAGATTTATTTTAGCTATTCAGGAAAGGGAAATAAGCTGTAGGAGAAACACTGGAGTGTTCTATTCTAACTAAGCATATGGATTAATTTTATAACACAGCAATTAAAGTCTGGTTTGCAAATTCTAAAAAGGAAAGCGGTAGCAAAATTGTTTAGTTTAACTCAGCAAGCACCTTACTCAAGTACTCTGACAAATTCTTACATGCTACTGAAATGATACAGTTTCTCAGAGGAGCCTTGACAAATTCCCAAATTTGTTGTCATTACAATTCATGTCCCAGAAATATTTAAAAGTCAAGACAAAGCAGTCTTCAAAAGCATATGTGAAATGTCTAAGAATGTTGTCGGGCAATGTTCATTACATTTTCCTCAATTTGCTCATGTTTTGTTTATCACATTGTAATAAAAATGTAAATAAAAGTCTGTATCAAACTTCTTTTATTTTACTCTTTTTGTTATTACTACTGATTTAAAAGGCTTTACACTTACTCTATTTCTGATCTCTCTCCCCACCCTTTTTGGTGTTGATTTACTCATCTGATGGAGCTGGTCCTTCTTTTGATGTCCACCAACTTTCACGTAGTGAAATAGAATCATAGAATCTGTTGGGCTGGAAGGGACCTTTTAAGGTCATCTAATCCAACGCCCCTGCAGCGAGCAGGAACATGTTGAAATAGATCAGGTTACTTGGAGCTCCATCAAGCCTGATGTTGAATGCCTTCAGGGATGGAGCCTCCACCACCTCTGTGGGCAACCTGTTTCAGTGTTTCACCACCCTTATAGTAAAGAACTTCTTCCTGATATCTAATCTAAATTTACCCTGCTCAGGTATGGTGCCCTTTAACCCCTTCAATCCAGTCCTAACAGGCAGACTCCAGGTTGCTCCCAGATTGTTGTCCAAAAATTAAGTGGTCACATAAAACAAGATGTTGCATTTTCCTGTGTATAGAAGCTGGCTTGGAAATAGGGGAGGGTCCGTGTGACCAGTTTATGATGACGCTTCAGTAGGTTTGGAGTAAAGACTGGTACTTTAAAGGAAACATATTTCACAATTGCTGTTGCTTGAAAAGCACAAGTTCTGAATAACTTCACATGACTCTTTCCATACTCCAAAAGGCATGCTGAAAACTGTTTGGATATTCATAAATGTCAGAGCAAACAGGAACTACCAGCAACATGAAAACGGAGCAGAATGTGCCTTCTAAAGAAAATTTTCTTTGATTCCCAAAACCAGCAATTTGTTAGTGAAAGAAATTAATGATACACGACAAGCTGCAGTCCCTATAGCAAAGTAAATCCAGTATCAGCACAGCGAATGTGGTGTCTTCTTTCTGTTAGCTGGCCTTCAGCTAGCTAATTTATCAGAATAAATAGTTCTGTGATTATTACAGTAGATGAAGGTCAAGGTAGTACAAAGAAATCAGAAAATAAAGCAGTCAAGTTCTGAAATCAGAAGCTGAACACCCAGATTCGTGTACATATAGTGTTGTGTTATGAAACAAAAACTGGACCACATTTAAGTGCCTGCGTTTGCTGTACTTATACAGTCAATTCCTGTACCTCTTCGTAGTTTGTATTGGTGTGAGTTAGCTGCGAGTTCTTGCTCTAAGGGAGGCTGATCACCTGTACACTGTGTTTATGTTTTTTCTAGTAAAGGGTTGTGAACAGGTTGGATTGCAAAGCAGATACCTTCCTGAAATAAGCTGCCTGATAGACAGTTTGCCTCTTGTGTAGCATTTGTTCCTGCCACATGAGAACCTGTTTTTTATGGTGCTGCATACCCTGAGTCGTAAGTGTTCTCAGCCCCTATCACTGGCTTCCACAGTTGTTCCCACTCGTTTTTACAATTCATCTGTAATTCTTGTTTCTTGAAACCAGCTGTGTTTCACTTACCCCCGCAGGAGGAGATGGTTTTAGTCATCTGAATGCACAAGTCTATTGGGAAAGCTGAGCTACTTTACTTTCAAACTTTGGGCAAACCATGGATGGCCTCAACCCTGCCTAACAATAAATAGTTGTTTAGTCTGATTTGCAGGCACTTTTTTACTGTCTGTTGGGAGGATGTAATGCCTAAGGTCAAGGTTGGCTGAGAATAATAGACCATAAACGAGTTTGATTCCAGAGAACATCCCGGCAGAGCTGGAATATATCACTACCCAGCTGGGACAGCACTCAAGTCAAATGCATCCCTCTTAGAAAGAGAGGGAGGGCAGTAGGCTCTTAAGAGCTGTCTTAAGAGAAATCCCGAATCTGGTGAACTTAATGAAATCTTCTGTTGTAAGGACCTTCCAGCTAAAGGAAGTTTGGTGCTGATGCCTGTGGGGGTGGTAGGTTGCTGAGGCCATAAGCACCTTGGGAGAGATTTTGGTTCAGAGTTGGGTCTTTCATTTTACTCCACTTGAAGGTGACACACTGCACCTGCCTGGTCTTTTAAGCCTGCTCTTGGATCAGCTGATCAGCTGCGAGAACTGGCTGTAACATCAGCCTCCTGGAAGGGACTGATGCTGGAAGAAAAATCACATGGTTTAAGGGAATCCATGCCTGGTTTCGCTTTCAAAGAGGCCAAAAATATGCTTATGTAAATGGACTGTGTCTTTCACTCATTAAACAATGACAAGAAAAAATATAGTTCATCTGCTGGTGAAGAGATATAATTGTAGAGTACTTCTGGGAAAATTACAGTTGGGAAAGGAAAGTTGCAGCCTGAAGCAAAAATAAGTTACTCAGTGAATGCAGTACATGCATTACGTGTAAAGAGCATACAACGGGTAGTGCTAAATCTTGCACAAGCTACCCCTAGCACTTGCCTTGGCTGTGAAGATTATTTTCCGTGAAAAAACAAAATTAATCCTTTGCCAAAACCTCTGTCCAGACTAGCAGCTTTTTAAAACACAAATATTTGCAAGAGTTTCAAGGGCCTAAACAGCAGCTACAGTCTAAATACATTAATGAGATAAAACGGAGATTGCGTATAAGTCCAAGACTTCCTGATGAGTTTGTAATCCTTTAAGAATAAAACAAAGCTACCAGTCTTCCAGCGTCCGTGCTTCTTACACTGTCTGTCAAAGGAGACAGTATTCAGCGGTTGTTTGTGGATGTTGTGTTACAAAAAGAACAAACTAAACAAAACACAAAATCTCAGAGCAGAATGGCACGATCTATTTTTTGTTTGTATAACAATCTGTAAATCTCAGTACAGCTTCATATGTTACAAAGACCACCATGTTCACAGGAAAGGCACGAATGCAGTTTAAACTCAGTCCTTTGAAAAGCACTTTTGCACCCTCCTTTCTCACACTTTCCCTGGTGCAGTGGATGAGGCCTTTGTACTTGTGCTGGTCCGATTCATCTATTTGCATCCGTGATTTGATGACATCCATGGGAGTAACTAACCCCCAGGCCACGACTCCAGCGAAGCCACCAGAAAGCAGCACAACGAGGAAACCTGCAGGAGAGATCGAAGGGAGGAGCAGTTAACTCCAGCCTTGCACTCATGCAGCTACAAGCATCTCGGATTTGTCAGCTATGTTAACTTTCATGGTTTTCTGCAGTTACTTTGTCCAGCACTTGCGGTTGTGTGTTTCCAGTGATCCCACACAAACTGTGTGGACTCTCCTACTCAGTTTTGGAATGCATGATACTGGCTTATGCAGAGACAGCATTTAGTTTAACATTACACAAACTGGATGTGATGCAGCCTGGGAGGATTCGCATCCTCTTCAGCTGGGTCTACTTATCTTTATAATTCTCAGGAAGATGCTTGCTGCTGAGTGTCACCTATCTGATCTTTTCTCAAATGGAACAGTTGTTTTGGGGAACCAAATCACAACCAGGAGACTTAAGTGTCTTTACATTCTGCACCTAGATTTTATTTTCAAGCTCTGGGCTGCCCCTGCTCTGTGCTCCATGGTGGCTCCTGGGAGGTTCATCCATGTTTCGTTCTTAGTTACATCTCCTATTTCTGCATTAAGAGGACTTCATACCCACATACGAGGCACCAGGGCGTGCTTTAAACACACCTCCCACAGGGAGAGGAACAGATGCTGAGGGACAAGGTTGTGCCAATGAAGCCCTCACATGCAGGCTGCTGCCACCTGCGCCGAGGGACAAAAATGGCCCCGTGGCACCAGGAAGGAAACACACAGCAACCCCCCCATGAGGACCAGATCTGCGTGAGGTTTTATAGGCACTGGGTGATGTTTGCTGAGAACCTGATTTCCCTCTTAGCATGATACTAAATAAGCCATTTTTGCAGGTAATGCCAGATGCTTTCCAATACCTACCTGGTTTATTTTTCCCAGTTGGTGTGAGCCAGTCACAAAGAGTAGAATAGGTAAGGAAATACACTGCAGAAGAAGAGCAGTCCCTGCAGAATAATGCGGAGCAGCCCTTGTAGAGACCCCTGAAACCTTCTTCCTTGGCGATCACCTTCAGACAATGCAGAGACCCTCGGTACTTTGGCTTAGAAACAGGCTGAGGAGATGCAACAGAAGGGTGTGGGTTCCTCTGAGTCTGCATGCGAACCTTGGCCACTTCGCTAGGATTCGTCAGTACAACCTGTAACATCAGAGGATGGTATTTTAACCCTTCATATTTGAACAGTGTTTTGATCCTTCTCCTGCAAACCCCTTGTCTCCCACCTTTCCAGGCAATATTGCCTGAACCCAGCAAGTTCTGGCCTCCTCCCCTCTGCCTGTGCTAAATCGCACCCAGCAGCAGCAGGACACTCATGTGCACTGTGCATAGTGTAAGGTAAGACAGAAATGAGCAGAGGATATTAAATACCTGTAATAACTTATTAAACCAGATGGGTATGGAAAGCGGATATCCTAAGCTATAGTGTAGCATACATCAGGGCTCTTGTATGCATCAGTATTTGGAACTAAGGTCCTAAAGACTTTTACAAAATTAACCTGTGTTAAGTAGAGTTGTTGCCTGCTACGAAGCACCTAGAAACCCCACCATCTGGACCGCTTGGTAAGAAGATTGCCTGTGACCGGGCATGCATTTCTGCCCAGCTCACCACTGGAGGTGAGCTCTGCTGCAAATGCTCACAGAAACTCACCTGCTTATGGGAAACTGCTCCTGGATTCAGCCTCACCTCCCTGTCCTGCAATCATGCGCGTTTGCCAGGTGGCATCGCTTCTCCATGATGCCCTGTTGAGTTTTGAGTCCTGACAAGGCGACATGGTGTACTGCCTGCTTCTACTGCAATACCGCACAGGGCTTGCGCAGCCACTGCAAACACACCAGCCTGTGCTTCAACACACTGAGTCACATCCTTCTTACATAAATATACCACCAGAGCCACTTGGAAAGTTTGCTTTCCAGGTTGTTTTTCTTCCTTTTTCTGTATTCACTGCCAAAGTCCATACTTAATAGAGTATTCTGAAGTGTTTTGGCACTCTAAACCAAACCCGGCACGAGCTGCCCAGCAGGACACAGCCACGCCACATTGGTGACCAGCGAGGGGCCAGTGTGGGCAGAGCATGACCTTCCCCTGTGAAAATAAACTCGCCAGGCTTACTGCAGGCTCCCTGCAGAAAACATTCCCTGCTTTTGCAGCCTCCTCTGTGTGTGAACAAGATCTTGTGTTGTGCTTTCCTCTTTCAGATGTTTACCTACCCGGGCAACACCTGCAGCACCTCCGGCAAGAGAAACATCGAGCTTGGACGGCTTCGCGTCGGCAGCCCCGTATCGCAGCTTGCAGATGGTGCAAAGGGAGTTTCTGTACGTGCCAAATGAAACAGAAGAAATCATCGACACTGTGAGGACCGACGCAGTCATACCTTTGTAAAATCCCCAGACCTAGTTGGAAACAGAGGAAAAAGAACACTTTTAAGAGGGAATGGCATGGGAAAGCATCTCCTCAGAAACACTGGCCATACTCGCATCTTCACAGCTCAACGGTAAAGTTAATTTCATCCTGACTCTTCTCCCCATGAATGGTTGTTTGTAACTACTGCCCATCCTCCTCAGACTGACAGAGGCAGCTCTGCCTCTCTGAAACAAGTTGCTCATAACTGGTATCAGCAATTCTGATGAGAGGAACCTACTTTTTCTGTCCTGTACGTTTCTTGTATGCAGTGCCAAATCCCATTGTAATGCTTCTCGGTCTGAATTCTCACCTAGGAACAGAGGGGATATTTTAAGATGTTGATAGCAGATTTAAAAAAAAAATAAATCAACAAATGTCATAGCAGCAAAACAGATAATTAGCCAAAAAATAACACCACCAAACAATTTACTCTTTTTTTTTTTAATAAGAGAAAAACAACACAATTAAGTAAAGTGAAATAGGTCTATGTAACAAAGATGAAAGCATTTTCATAGGACTAGTTTTCTAAAAGGGAAGGGGAAAGCAAAAGCCTGTTTGTTTTCAGTCTACAGTCAAGAAATAAAGCTCCAACAGGTACCTTCACTGTGTCCAGCGGATAACCCACTGCTGTGCTTAGACCACCTGAAACAGAGAGTGTATTGGAGATGGTTAACAGCACACGTCACGACAGACTGTTTCCCCCGTTGCAGGAAAGCATTAGGGAAATGGCAGAGAAATGCAGCTTCAGACCCCTGCCTTGCTTGGCACCAGACCTCTCTCAGGCTCCAGAGACAACATCTGAGCCAAGAATGACAGAGCAAACTATGCAGATTTCTCCGCATGACCAAGAGACGTTCCAAGGAGGAAATTTATCAGGAGAACAAGTCTTATGAGGAGCAGCTGAGGCAGCTGAGATGATTGTTTAGTCTGGAGTTGAGGAGGCTGAGAGAAGACTTCATTGCTCTCCATAACTACCTGAAAGGAGGTTATAGCGAGGCAGGGGATGGTCTCTTCTCTCAAGTTGCTAGTGATAGGGCAAAAGGAAATGGCCTCAAGTCGCACCAGGGAAGGTTTAGATTAGATATCAGGAAAAATTCCTTTACTGAAAAGATAGTGAGATATTGGAACAGGTTTCTCAGGGAAGTGATGAACTCACCATCCCTGAAGGTGTTCAAAAATCATGTAGACGTGGTACTTCAGGATATAGTTTAGTGGTCATGGTAGTGTTGGGTTGACAGTTGGACTAGATGATCTTAGATGTCTTTTCCAACATTAATAATTCTATGATTCCATGATTCTATAACACCACAGTGCAAGCCAGGACTGGGGAAAGCACGGAAAGCACTGCTGCAGTAAGGCTGAAGGGGTAACCTGGACTGTTTCTGTTCTCCCTCCCAACTTAGGCAGTAAAGAGTTTTTGGATTATGTCCAAGCACCCTCATGTGAGGTGCAAAACATTCCCACTCACACAGGAGGGTCTCTGGAGGCATTTTGATTCACCAGGCTGGGCTTGGAAATATTAAGGAATAAAAGCAGTGGTCACAAGGACATCTATAAAAGAGAAGTGGTCTTCATGCAGTACAGGTTTTCAGCAATCTGTCTGGAAGACAGGAGAGGTACTCGTGTTGCCTCCTGAAAAACAGGGGCCAGACATCATAGAATCATAGAATCATAGAATCGCAGTCTTGGTTAGAAGAGACTTTCAAGATCATTGAGTCCAACCTTTGTCCTAGACCTATCAACACTACTAAACCACGTCCCTCAGAACAGCATCTACCTATCTCTTAAACACCTCCAGGGATGGCGACGCAACCACCTCCCTGGGCAGCCTGTTCCAATGCCTGACAACCCCTCCAGTAAAGAAATTCTTCCTAATATCCAACCTGCATCTCCCCTGGCACAACTTAAGGCCATTTTCCCTTCTCCTGTCACTTGATGCTAGGGAAACTATGTCTCAGCTGCACCTTACAAAGCATTTCAAAATCTCTGGGTGAGGAACTTGTTGGGCATTAGGGTCCATGGCACTGTGCTGAGCTAAGCCTCTGAAGTGCATCTCCTACATGCACTGAACACTGCAGCAAAAGCAGAGCGAGAAGCAAAAGCAGAGGTTGGTTGGAGTCCCGGCAGGCTAGTGTGGTATCAGGGCACAGCACGGCTGGCCCCAGCACTGCTCGGCAGTGTGACCACTCACTCTCTGCCGCTCAGGGCTCAGCGGGATTAAGAGGCAGCAAGGGATTAGCGCTGGGCTTGTGCACAGCCAGCGCGCTCCTCAGCACACCCCACACACCAGCTGACCACGACTGCCCGCCTGCAGCAGTGATGTCATGTCCAGCGTGATGGGGGGGGTTGTCAATCCTCTATCAGCAGCCAGGCTCATTTCAAGACCTTAAAATAGCCACCAGAGTTGGAAACCCATTAATCCTATGAGACAAATTTACTGCCTTAATGGCAGATAAGGAGAGCAAAAGAATTCCAACATAAACTTCTTTTGGTTGCAGTAGCAAACAGATCACCCACCCATCCCTGCCCTTACCTCCTTGTGTTTCTCTGCTCTGGTCTAAATGCATCTGGTGACAGATGCCATGGATGATAAAGGGGCTGAGCAGCTAACTTCCTCCCAGCACATCAAGTCATCTCGCCAAGACATCTGATAGGAAATCAGGCTGGGGGGAAAATGAAGCTGTATCCATGTGAGTTATTTACACAGAGATCAAATTCTTAAAAGAGCTGGATGAGTCCTTCAGGGAGCCAGGCAGTCATAGATAGAGTGCACGCCTGGTGGCTCACAGATTGGAAACCGAATTGAATCCTTCTTTAAAAAAATAAAAACCAAGGTACTTAAAAATATATTAGTTGCTGTGGGTATTTGACTAGGCATGTTCACCTGTGATTACGTAGCTGCTTAGAAGCTCTGGAAAGCTCTGCTACATTTTGGAGGAAAGTAGTAGCTGCTGGTGTGAGTCACCAGGAGATAATCAGAAGGTGCATTACTTAGAAGAAAAGAACCAACAGCATCTTGCTTGCAGAAAAATGGTTTCTTCTGCAAAATCTCTATCAAGCCTGCCACTAGATAAATAGCAATGAAGATGAAAAATGGGCCAAGAAGCCACCTTCTGTATTTCAAAACCAAAATGAGGTCAAGCTGGAAGAGAGACAGTGATAAGGGAATACACAGGCAGAGTAATACAGCTCAAAGGAGCAATGCTCTGCTCCGAGTAGAGGGTGCCAAAGCACAAAGTCACCCAGGGACACCTGCACTGTCCTAGATTCCCAGCCACTGGCCAGAGGCAGATGCAGACACGGCCTCTGCCAGCCAGGGAAGAACAGCATGTGACTTAATGTCAGTGTGACTGTGCTGACCTCAGAGGTGCAGTCTGCTGGCCCAAGAACCCTTCCCAGATGGGAGGATTTGGCATCCCGTTGTCTTCAGACTTCCTGAAAATTAGAGGCAGCACCTGCAGGCTGACCAGGCACTGGTGGTTCAGGGGGCCTTGCACAGCTAAGTGCTGACTTGGTCCACCAGCTCAGGAAGGTAGGAGCCTTGTATCACGCACATCAGGTACCAAGGCTGATTTGGGTCAGTGTTCAAGAAATTGCTCCATTCACACGTTAACATGCAGAGACAGCAGCAACATAGACAAAACTGGTTTGCCCCGAAACAGCTTATTCCCCACTGCTTCTCAGTCGTAAGGACTCCTGCTAACCTGGGATCCAGCAAGGACCAAACAGCTCCACTTGGGAGGAGACTATAAAGTTAATTTTTTCACTGCTCCCACCCCAGACCTCTGAACCACCACAGTCTGCCATGAACTGCACTCCTTAAAAGCCAAAGCACTCAGGACAGTTAAGGTGTCAGAGCTGAGGAGAAAAGCCAAAGCACTCAGGACAGTTAAGGTGTCAGAGCTGAGGAGAAAAGCCAAAGCACTCAGGACAGTTAAGGTGTTGGAGCTGAGGAGCTCAGTCAAGTTCACCAAAGGCTGAGGAAGAGTTTCTCTGCATGATGTCACACAATATAAATAGCCTGGGACAAAGACAGCATGACTCACACGTGCCCTGTTCGCACAGCAGATCAGGGCCAGCAATGTATGGCATGCATATGGGAGAGGCATCCCCTGGGACTCCTGCTGAGTAACACTTCCCCAGCCAGGGTGCTCACCAAGCCACAGTCCATCATTTATCAGCAGTCCTGGCCAACTCTGGAGGTCCCAGCTGATTGGAAGTCAGCCAATATAACACTCACCTGTAAGGATTATCCAGAAAATTACAGGCCAGTCAGTTTGACTTCAGTGCCAGGGAAGATGATGGATCAGATCATACTGAGTTCCACTACGCAGCACATGCAGGACAACCAGGTGATCAGATCCAGTTAGCATGGCTTTAGGAAGGGCAGGTACAGTTTAACAAATCTGATCTCCTTCTACGACAGGGTGACCCGCTTGTTGGATGAAGGAAAGGCTGTGGATGTTGTCTGCCTTGAGTTTAGTGAGGCATGTGACACTGTTGCCCACAGCATTCTCCTAGAGAAATTGACTGCTCTTGGCTTGGATAGGCACATGCTTTGCTGGGTGGAAAAACTGGTTAGATGGCCGAGGCCAAAGAGTCATGTTCAATGGAGTTAAATTCAGTTGGTGGCCGGTCACGAGTGGTGTCCCGCATGGCTTAGTGTTGGGCCCAGTCCTGTTAAATGTTTTCATTAATGATTTGGACAAGGGGATAGAGTATATCCTTAGTAAGTTTGCAGAAGACACCAAGCTGGGTGGAAGTGTCGAATTGCTTGAGGGTAGGGAGGCTCTACAGAAGGATCTAGACAGGCTGGATGGCTGGGCCAAGGCCAATCGCATGAGTTTCAATAAGGCCAAATGCCGGGTCCTGCACTTCGGCCACAACAACCCCCAGCAGCGCTACAGGCTTGGGGAGGAGTGGCTGGAGAGTTGCCACGCAGAGGGACCTGGGGGTGTTGATGGACACCGGCTGAACATCAACCAACAGTGTGCCCAGGGGGACAAGAAGTCCAACGGCATCCTGGCCTGGATCAGGAACGGTGCTGTCAGCAGGAGCAGGGAGGGCATCGTGCCCCCGGACTCGGTTTCGGTGAGGCTGCACCTCAAGTCCTGTGTCCAGTTCTGGGCCCCTCACTACAAGAGGGACATAGAGGTGCTGGAGAGGGTACAGAGGTGGGCTGCCAAGCTGATAAAGGATTTGGAGCTTGTGTTGTAGGAGAAGCGGCTGAGGGATCTGGGGCTGTTTAGCCTGGAGGAGACTGAGGGGAGATCTTATCACTCTCTACAACTACCTGAAAGGAGGTTGTAGCAAGGCAGGGGTTGGTCTATTCTCCCTACTGGCGAGTGATAGGACAAGGGGAAATGGCCTTAAGCTGCACCAAGGGAAGCTTCAGGTTGTATATTAGGAAGAATTTCTTCACTGGAGGGATTGTCAGCCATTGGAACAAGCTGCCCAGGGAGGTGGTTGAGTCACCATCCCTGAAGGTGTTTAAGAGATGGGTAGATGCTTTATTGAGGGACATGGTTTGGTGGTGTTGATAGGGCTAGGACAAAGGTTGGACTCGAGGAACTCGAATGTCTCTTCTAACCAAACTCCTCTATGATTTTATGATTCTACTTATTCTATAAATATAAATGGCAAAACTGGCTGAACTATCTTCATTGGGTTGTAGTTTGCCATTTGTCATGCCTGCTCTGTCTGAGATGTTCTCAGGTGTTGCGTAGAAGTTGCAGCATCCTCTGTGCACACATGGTGCAGGGAAAAAACCTGGTTTACTCACAAGCTCTTCACCAGTCAGGCCAGTTTGACCAGGCAATTCAAATAAGGAGGAATCGTGGCAGGGTGGCCACTGCAATGGTAATCAGCAGAGAGCTAGTAGCAGTCATACAGAGTCCACCAGGCTGCAACAGCTCCAAGATGTTGGCAGACCCCTAGCTGAGAGACGCAAGGGGAAGCAATAATCATGGTGCATGCACTGGATAGGTAGACAATAACTTCCAAAGATCTTTACTTTGTGAAGAGCTGGCAATGTAAGGAGTGCCCCACACCCTAAACAAGCTGAGCTCTATCCAGTAACATGACCCTGGCAGTGGCCAGCAGGAGCTCCTTTAGCTGTAAAGACAGGGAGACAGCATGTTTCTTCCACAGTTGGACTACATTACGTAACTGTGGACTGCATGTGACTGGTGTATAACCTTGCAGTAAGGTGTGGAGAAGCCCAAGCATGCTGCAGACCCTGTTGATCTACCACTGCTGGATGAACCTCAGCTTCCCCTTCCCAAATCTTCATGCCTGGCTCAAGAGTCAAGTCATGCCCATCAATAGCCTTAATCATCAACACCCACCCCCTGCCGTGGTCCATAGCAGGGCTAGAAAACACACATAGGTTCGTAGGAAAATTCAAGTTGGAAGGAACCTCAGGAGGTCTCTAGTCCATCTTCCTGCTCAGCTTCATTGGCCAGGAAGGACATCCTTATAGATGACCTCTTTTTGAGGACACCTAGGCCCTTCTGGTGGTTATTGAAAGTTTCCACAGCATGTTTCTTTCCATTTCTTTCCATCTGGAATCATAGCAGGTCACTGTTTTCTGGGCTGAAGATGCTGAGCTCGTCCCACGGATACAGAAGCAACAGCTCAGAGGAGATGCACAATATTTGTGCAGGTGCCTGAACCAGGCTGGATCATTATATGGGATTCAGGTAATATGTGGGCAACATCTCTGCTGTTTTTCAGAGGTGCTTAAGCCATTCTTTCTCCAAAACACTGGAGAAAACTCTGAAAACAGGTCAAGGTGATAAGACTGTAATTCACTGAACAAAACCTCTGTTATTTGTATTGCCTCTTGAGACTGCCAAACTCCAGCAGATCTCAAAGTGAAATCTGACATGCAGGCCTTGGGCTGGGCATCTCAGCCATCTGGCACGTTTACCTGGCCTTTCTGGCAGCTGCAACGCCAAGGCCCTTGTCTTTGTATTCAATACTCCATTAAATCTGACAGGATTTCAGAAAAGAAGTAAGATCAGTGACTACATTTTGCTGTTTAAAACAAAGTTGGATTTGAACAGCACATGTTCCAAAAATGTCTAGAATGAAATCACACTTTTTTCCTGTTACTTTTTTTTATATTCAGTTAACCTACTTTCTCCTAGATCAAAGCCTGCTACGTAGCACTGAAATCACCATTGAAACTGCAAATACATCTTAACCTAAGATAATGCAAAGGTCATTCATTCAGACTTTCTTCACTGCCAAAAGCTATGTCACTACCCCCACCATCTCACAAATCATGTCCTCAACCCCCAAAATTGTGGCCCCTACATCCTACCAGGTTCCCCAGGCACCAGACATGTGAGGGTTTGCTGTCCAGGCGTTACTTGCCAGCTTTTTATCAGCATGCAACACATTCCACTTTGTCTTTTCCTATCAGACTTTTGCCGTCCTGCTGCAATTAGACTGGAGGAGATTGCAAGGCAATGACCTCTGCTGACCCAACTGCAGCACCGCCTCTCCAGTAGCTCTGTGAGCCTGCTCTGATTACATTTCCCACTTAATGAAGAAGAATGCACTTTTAACAAGCAGCCCACATCGAAAGACTCTCAGCTCTGCCAGTGAAACCTGCCCGTTAGCTGAAAGAGAAAGAAACACGACGAACTGCTTTCAACAACAAGCACTACTTTATGCATTTACCTCCAATGGCCCCGGCAATGAAATCCATCCAGACTGAGTCAGCTGCCTTTTTTACCCTGATTAAGTGTTAGGGAGGTAGAAGAACGGATGATATCGGCTCGCTTTTTTTGCAGGTCCTTTGGTGACTTGCAGTATGAATCACCTTCCTACTGTCTCTTCTCGCCTCTGGGTACTGTGAGCCTTGTGGATCCTTGATGAATTTGTACACTGGGGGCAGAAACAAGAAGCCTGGAGCTGTTCCAGGAACACAGTGAATAAATAAGTAATCCCATGGAGCCCTGCAACTCTGCGCCAGAGCCGCTGTTCCCAGAGCCTTTCTGCTTGGAAAATCACAAGGGGTGGTGCCTTGCAAAGTAACGCTGGTTGTGGAGAGGCCACGTCCCGTGGTACTTATTAACCCCAGAAGACAGCCTTGCACACTTCCTTGCCATGGAGAAATGGCACAGGTGGCTGTGTATGAGATGTGCACAGCTGTGTATGTATCCCATCCCACACTTCCTCTTTCTCATGGAGCAAACCTCCTTCCCATCAAGGAAAATACCTTGTGCCCTTCCCAGGAATTTGCCTTGGCTTTCCTAACCCCCACAGCTGACCCTAAACTTTTACCTAGATCCTCAAGTATTGTTACCTGTCGGCTGTGTATACTCATGGTGAAGCCCAGAAATTAATCCAACCACACAAAAAGCATTAGCTTCCCTTTCAGACCACAGGGTAGTTCTCCCAGCCCTCCTGAGGAGCTCTGCTTCTTCACTTCTTTCTCAGTCTCCCAATCCCCTTTCCAATGCCAGCTCCTTGCTGACTTAAGCACAGGAGCAGGAATCTCAATTGCTGCTGCTTGTACTCCAGTGTTCTGCCCTGCAGGGAAGATGGATTTTGCCAGCACCTAATTTTTTCTTCCTAATTTACACTCAGCACAGGGTGGTGATCTCAGCAGGTGAAAAAAGCACGGAGAGGGACCTCATGGCCAAGGAAAACCAAGAGCTCAAGAAAATGCCATATTGCCCATTTTTGCACAACAGCCCCATACTGGAGGGCTGGCACATCTACATGGGAGAAACTGAGATTTTCCTGAAGTGAGCCTGGAAACCAAAGTCCAAATGCAGTGAAGGCCTTGACAAGTTGTGACATGAATTGTAGACCTCTTGAAGAGGTTTTCCCAGGTCAGAGCCAAGACACATTTGCAGCAAAAGGAGAAGAACATTTCTCAGCTGCTGCCCCCCTGGGTCAGCTTTACAGAAAAGCCGAGGATTTCAGTCCCCAGCGCTTTCTCCTGCACATTTTACAAGAACTTATTTCTCACTGAAATGCATATTTTGGCTGGGGTGATGTATCAGTGTGAGGGCTCAGCGTTCCTTGGAACTGAAAATTAGTTTGAGCAACCTGCTTCCCACAATTTCTTACGTGTCCTTCCCTGAACACTTCCTGCACTGGTGTTGTGGTTTAACCCCAGTCAGCAACTAAGCATGAGTCAGCCACTTGCTCACACCCCCCTCCCACAATGGCAAAGGGGAGAGAATCAGAGAACAAAAAGGTAAAAATCACAGGCTGAGATAAAGACAGTTTAATAGAACAGAAAAGGAAGGGGAAATAATAATAATAATAATAATAATAGAAAATACAAGACAAGTGATGCGCAATAGCCTACACCTGCTGACTGATGCCCAGCCAGTCCCTGAGCTGGAGTGTCCTCTGGTCAACTCCCCCCAGTTTATATACTGACATCATGCGGTGTTGAAAACCCCTTTGCCCAGTTTGGGTCATCTGTCCTGGCTGCATCCCCTTCCAGTTGGCTGTGTAACCCCAGCCTCCTTGCTGGTAGGGCAGTACAAGAAGCTGAAAAGTCCTTGATTTAGTAAACAGTACTGCAACAGTGAAAACATCCCTGTGTTATCAACATTCTTCTCATCCTAAATCCAAGACATAGCACTATAGCAGCTACTAGGAAGAAAATTAACTTTATTTCAGCTGAAATCAGGACAGCTGGAGAGAACAGTTTATTCCAGTTTAACAAAATGTCAGGACAGCAAAAACTTAAAACCAGAAGTAAAATATTATCCAGAGAGATGCAATATAGCTGCTAAAACACACTGGGTTACTCAGTAGCTCCTCCTTTTTACACCTGGTGACCATACAGGAATTATTAATGGTTCATCAACAGTCCGTACTTGCCAAGTGCGGGGAAAGGTGCTCTTTAAATTTCTCCTACCAGCCGTTCCTGGCTGCTGTCCTTGCAGGCCCCCTCCAGCAGCAGGACCAGGTGTGGGACCTGCCATGTCAGTGACACACGAGAACACGGACACGGTCCCCTCTGGCACCTGGGGCAGCCCAGGAGCCCAGAGCCTCCTGGTCCTGCAGACTTCGGATAACCTGACAAGCTGCTCCAGCCTGTGCTGCAGCAGTCACTGCTGCCTTCGGGACCTCTGCTTAGACACCACTGTTAAATAGTTCTTTTCTGGGAGCTGCTTCCAGGCAAAGTCAAGAAATTCATTATATTCCCCACATGAAAGTATCACCACGCATTCCCTCCCAGCATATGGCCTGGGGTGTCATGTAGAGGGGGATTTTTCTCTATATTGCAGTGACTGGTGCAATGTCAGCAAGAAAATACAGCCTGGCTGACTAAGTGTCAGAGCTTATAAATATTTCCCTCCTTCATCCCCATCTCCTCAGGTTTCAGGGATTTTCCAGCTCTCAGATACAAGCCTCATTAGAAATACCAGAATCCAGCAGCCCAGTGACACAGGACAACCAAGAGATTCAAAAAAGTCCAGTTCGAAGAAATCTTGAATTATCAGGAAGTTCTTCAAGATCAAATACGAGTTGTTCCTGTCACCCTCTGACACATTGTCCAAGGACTGGCAGAGGTCACTGCTACCCCAGCTTGCAAAGAAATGCCACAGTCCACACTTATCCCCACGCAGGGATAAGTGACAGTCTCAGCCCCAGTGGTCTTCTCAAAGCATGCCCCTAGGAAATGCTGCCACATTGAGCCTTCACAGGGCATAGTACTCCACTCACAATAACTCACAAGTTTAAGAGCGATTTGTACAAAACAGGTGAATTTCACAGGAGATTTTGGGAAAGCAGAGCATGGAAGGTGCTGTCAGATGAAAAGACAGATCTGAAGATATGAAACAATCTGCAGGAAATTATGAAATTAAGTGATACAAAAGCAAGGAAGGCCTTGATTTTGCACAGTGTGTGATGGATGAAACACTCCGCTTGCTTCCCAAGAGGCAGCAGCTGCCTGCCCACCCAGGCAGGAAGAACTGCTCCACGGCTAAGCAGCAGCAGGGAGCAAAAGGAAAAGTGGAGAGGGAGACTTTACGTAGGTAATAAATGTTAAATAACAGCTTTCAGGTGAGATACAAAAGCAGGGACACTCCTTTACCCCTCTCCTTCCACAGCTCACTCCCAGGGTATTACCAACACCATTAACCCTGCAAAGTGAAAGTGTGTCCTCTTTTGCCACTGCAACCACCTGCTAGCTCGTCGACGGAAATTTGCTGAGCAAATGTTCCTGCCTCCTTTCCTGCCGTAACATGCTGCTTTTTCTATTCTCCTCGCACTATGCGATAACACACTCACACGTGTATCCATTAATTCCCATCCCATTTATTTTGGAAAAATCCTTGACTGAAGAGACTGTTCAAACAGTGTTACTCTGGGCTATTTGCACACTGTTAAACAAAAAACACGAGCAATGCTGAGCTGGCAGCACCTGGCGCTTGGCTTGCGTGGCGGGGGGTGGAAAGGGGGGTGGAACCTCCTGGCTCCAGCTGTGTTGCAGATTTTCTAATCAAAGTGTCTCCTTGTCCTTTACCTCAGGTACTAATGAAAAAAAACAATAATTCCAAGGACTCAAACATTTGCAGCAAATTTCACAGCAAAACAAACAAAATTGGTAAGGAAACCATTCTGAGTGTTGCCAATGGCATCACTTTTAGTGATGATCACTGATTCCACCTCTGGAAATATGATAGAAGGTTGTAATGTTTCTAAACACATTTCCAAAGGAAGCAAAAATAATCCATTTCCAAGATGACCAAGATGATTGCAGTAATTGAAGAAGTGACAGATTTTCTGGCTTTGGGCAAGTGACTCAATCTCCCTACGCCTAATCTTCTCACCAGCACAAATGGTGAGGTGTATGTTCACTGCCACGAAGTCACTGCAAGGATTCAGGCACTTCTCAGAGAGTCCCAAGTCTCTGTTGAGGTGGAAGAAGTAACATTAGCACCCACTCTACACAAACACCCACATGAAAAAAAAAAAACAAAAAGAAACCCCAACTTTAAAAAAGGCATTTTTCTTATGGTTCTTTTAAAGCCTTATAGAAATCTTCCCCCCAAATCCTGATCTTTAAAATAAGAAAGAGAAACTGTCAGCTCCAGGTAAGTTTTTATGCCGTATGACATTGGAATGACTCCTGGGTGTGGTGGAGGAAGGGGATGTCGGGACTGTTGTTGACTTTCTGATTGCAGTTTGAGCCTCTTTCCAACATCTTGCAGATTTTCTGTGCTTTAACGAACAGAAGATGTAGTCAGCGACCTGGCAGCAGGCTTGGAGAGCCGGGAGCAGAGGGAGCCACTCACCTTCCCAGCCTCCTCTTCTCTACCAAGCAATAATGTACTCTATTTGTCATGATTAAATTAATGTCAGCCCTCCACCTTTTCTGCAAGGTTAGTTTGGGTGTTAAAAGTAGAACATAGATGTCATGGTAGAAACAGTGACAAGCCCCAAATCCTTTGATAATGCTGTTGCAGGATCAGTGCTCTCTTGAGTCTATGTCTCTGTATCTTTTTCTGCAATATTCTCAAACTGTGTCTCCCTTTGGTCTCCTCTGTATACCAGTGAAGAATGAATGAGATGCCACATCATTTTTGACTAGCCAACAGTCTTCGTTCTTTTTGGAATGATCTGATGTTATGTGATTTAACAACCTCAGAGCTACTTGCAAATTTGGAAGAAATCCTTCTCTAGAACTATGAAGCATTATTATTTAGGACTTTGATATCAACTGCTAAA